TTATTTATTTATTTATTTATTTTTGTGGAACCAGGGATTGAACTCGGGCCCTTGCGCTTGCCAGGAAGTGCTGATTCTACTGAGCCATCTCCCTGGCCCCATGCACTACTGAATTTGCAGTGAAATAAATCAGTCTTGCGTGTGTAAACGTAGTATCTGCCTGGGTAAGAAACTGAAAAAGTAAATAAGATCCAAAAGGTACAGTACATACCGTGAAGGGGAAAGAAACTACTCAAAAGGAAAGAACTGGGATGGAAGGAAAGGAAAAAAAGGGGGTGGATATATACACATACACACACACACACAATAGCTAAAATAATTGTACTACTGATTTCTCTTAGTTCATTGAAAGGAACAGCTTGTGCTTTTATTGTTCGATTAATTTTGCATTATCTAGTAACCTGAGCAACTACTATGAAGATAACTATGCAATGTATTAACCATTGTTAGTGTCTTATGTTTTTGAAATTTTGTATTATTTTATTGGGTTTTCTCTTTAAAATTAAAAAAAAAAATTCTAGGAGCCTTATGGTAGGATTTTTGGGATCTTCTATGTATAGGATCATGTAATCTGCAAATAATAGTTTAACTTCTTCCTTTTTCTTTTTTCTTTCTTTTTTTTTTTTGAACCAGGGATTGAACTCAGACCCTTGCACTTGCTAGGAAAGCACTTATTCCACTGAGCCATCTCCCTGGCCCCTTCCTTTTTCTTTCTTTCTCATGTCTAATCTCTTTAATGTTTTGAGAACTCTGTGGAACAGCACAGTGGACAGTGGTGCCAGGGAACAGCCTTGTCTTGGTCTTGATTTTAGAGGGACAACTTTCAGCTGCTGTCTTAGTTACTTTTCTCATTGCTGAGACAAAATCCTCAACACCTGCAAGTTAAGGGAGGAAAGGTTTATTGAATTCACAGTTTGTAGAGGTTTCAATCTACAATCGGCTGGCTCCACAGCAGGGTAATATTCCCGATAACCAGTGCACAGTGGGCAGAAGGTAGTGAAGCAAATAAGGGACAAGGCAAGCGTTGTTTTGTCCTTTGTATTGTATTCGTGCTGCTGGGATTAAGGCGGTACCAAACCAGTGAGTAGACTAACTTAGTAATAATCACCCACCCTTAATCCTAGCATTACACCATGAATCAGTCACTCTAGATTTAGCTGCCTTTGAAAAGTCCCACCTATGACAGCATGAGGCTTTGGGTGGACATCTGAACCTGAGCCATCATAGCCTCTTTCTGTTTAATATGGTATTGGCCACGGGTTTGTTGTAGACAACTTTTCTCAGGCTTTCTATATGTATTTTCTTCAGAGTTTTTATAATGAATGGATGCTGAATTTTGTCAAATGTTTTTTCTACCTCTGTTGAGATGATCACGTGCTATTTTTTATATTCTTGTTTATTATTATATTTATTGATTTGTATACATTGAACCGTTGCTCCATCCCTGGAATGAATCCTCCTTGGTTGTGATGTAAGATCTTTTTGATGATTTGCGGCATTCTGTTTACCAGTATCTTAGGAAGGATTTTTACATCTGTGTTCATGAAAAAGATGGACCTCTTACTCTCATTTTTTTGGCTGGTCCTTTTCTAGTTTTGGAATCAGATTATAATGCTTGCTTCTAGGAATGATTTCAGACTTCCAATTTCATTAAGGAATGAATACAGACTTTCCTTTCAATTTCATTAAAGAGTTTGACAAGTATTGGCATTAAATCTTCTCTAAAGTTATAGAATTTGGCGGTGAATCCATGGGGACCTGGGCTTTTCTTACTTGATAGGTTTTTTAATTATTATTTCCTCATTTTCATTAATTAATATGGAGTTGTTTAGAGTTCATATATCTTCTTGGTTCAGCTTTGGTAATTCATATGAATCAAGGAATCTATCCATTTTTTGGTAAATTTTCCACCTTCTTAGAGTATAAGTTACTAATTAATAACCTTCTGGATTTTGGCAGAATCTCCTTGATTGTGCTTTTTTCTTTTCTAATTGCAGGAATTTGGGTCTTTATCTTGCTAAGAGTGATTAAAGGTTTGTCTATGTTGTTTATTCTCTCAAGGAACAACTCTTTGTTTTTTGTTTTTTTTAAATTACATTATATTTTAAAAATAGGATAAAGAATTATATACTTCTCATGTTTGCACATAAGTCCAAAAATCTCATCATATACAACCTTGAAGCAGGACAGTCCCACAATATTCCTTTTCCTGTCTCTTGCTTTCATTCACCACCCCCTTCTTCTTGAACAACCACCTACCCAAGAGACATCATAGCAGTAAATGGCATGTCATGACAAGCTGCCCATATTCAGACTACCAGAATGACAGGCACTCCAAACGTGAAACTACTGTTTCTTTCCAATTAACTTCAAAAATCTTCTGAAGATTCTCAGGATCATTGCCTTGCTCATCTTTTAACAACTCTTTGATTCACTGACTATATTTTTTTTATTCTT